CAAGTAGAAGACAACCGATAGTGTACAGATGGTATTGCAATAAAGTCATAATGACGCTCACCTTCTCAGCTTGAGCTGCAGCTGGAAATGCAATGAAATAATACTCCTCTGCTCCACGGGAACAAAATTGCAATAAGATGTTTTTATAAATTTGTGAAAAGCGTGTCAGACGATTGTACGAAGTTATTGTTTTTTTTTCTTTCTTAACATTTAGATGGAGCACGATTTTAAAAACTAAATCGCGACGCAGAACATATTACAGTCGTACGTGTTGCTCTTAAAATAGTCTATACCGGCAGTATTGCACATTGTCTGAGGGTATGGAAGAGAGTCACGTTTTTTAAACTGGAAATCGTTGCGCCATCGTTCTTCCCCCGCCCACACAAACTGCGTTATAATTTTTTTTATAATTTTTAATCTATTCTTGTTGTTGTTGTTGTTGATGCTCGGTCGTGACTCAAAGCAAACTGCTTTTGTGGGAAACATAAATGTAGAACGAGAGGTGCAAAGGTACGAGGAACGTTCTTTTTTCTAAGCAAGATCTAACGTAAATTAACTCACATATTTACAGTTAAGAAATAATGTGGTCACGTTTGTAACGCGATTCGCTCGTCACGCCATCTTTTCTCCGTCAATAGGTGAAACTTCAAAATATCGATAAGTACAGAACGTATAGTCTTGTAGGATTGACAACTACCTTCATAAATTCTTTTTTTTGTTGTTGTTGCTAGTCGTGACTCTACGCAAACGTCTTTAGGGGGAAAATTGGAACATTCAGATTGAGCAAGATCTAACATAAATTCACACGTTTACTGGCGAGAAATAAAGTACTCACGTTTGTAACGCGATTTCCTGGAAACTTGCTCGTCACGCCATCTTTTCTCCACCACACCGCAAATGGACTGACTTCAAAATATAAATAGCGGTCTTCTAGGATTGACAACGCAGATGAAAAATCGCTTGTTAGCAATGGTGTTAACTCTGTCCAGTAGAGGTTTACGAGAAAAAAACAGGTGGACATAGCTCACGCGGAATGAGAGATCATTCGGAACACGTGCAACCGCAGACACCACCCAGGGGTCCAGGAAATGAACTGTTGCTTTTTATAGCAACACCAGCTTGTTATAAATGTGACTCCAAGTATTCTGTGTTGCAATAAACAAAAACACGACGATTACTAAGGTGGAAGAAGTTTCTCCAGGACTGCAGCAAGCGGACGAAAAAATTTACGCACTACTTAGTAAGTTTGACTATAAAATGTTTAAGTACACGATTTGTTTTCTTCGTGTCAACCGATTTAGTGGCGCGAATTCTTTCCACATGCTACTTGAATTGAATCACCTTTACTCGCGTACCTGGGTTGCGTACGACTTCGTTTAATTTGGGCGCGACATTTACTATCGATATCACTTATAAGTCGCATGCAACAGTCGGTAAAAGATCGCACAGCCTAAATCGGAATTTAGAAGTCAAACCTTCATTAACTTTGTAATATTTGAGTTTCAAAGGTGTGTTTTGAACGCCATAGGTCTGGAAAAGTCTTTAGGTCTGGCTCCGAAATCCGCTCGGTAAATTTTGCAGAACAGCTCTTTCAGTGCGGAAATAATCGTGTGTCATTTACTTTTCGGACCACAAATTCTCTGAGACATGTTAGAGGCCCGCTCAGTCACTGACCGTCACTGCATTTTGAGTGTTTTTTGGCCATGTACACAATTACCTATAAATTGAAGGAAACCTGAAAATAGTAGTTTACTTAGATAGAGAAACACCAGAAAGATAATAACAGACAATAAAGGAACATACATGGTTTAGGATGGAGAAGATTGACCCGGATTACAAACGACGAACTTCAAACATTTAGGCTAAACTTTTCAAGATGCGCAAGATCTCGGGTATCACTGCAAAAACGCATCGTTTCTAAGGAGACTGTTAAAATTTTGACTAATTCTCAGCTAGCTAAGAAACGCATCGAGATCCTCGAGGTAATTATAGCCTGTATTCTGGTTTAGGGTGCCAGACATTCAATTCTCGACTGCTGGTTTCTGCGCTGCTTCAGTGTTGATATTTCGCAGCCGTAGTTCGAGCAAACAAACGACACGGGATGTTTCTCGCCAGTAAATACTTAAGGGAGTGTCTCGGCTGATTATCGAAAGTTCTTTTTTTCCTAAATATCCATATTATATCGCTAAATACTACCAAATATGCAAGTGAATGGGCTATGTTACGTTGGGTGGGCCCTCCTGAGTTTCCCCGTCTTCAGCACGGCTTTTGCCAAGATCCAAATGCTGCAATAACCCGTTGTTGAAACAATCATTAAGTAGACGAAGTATGAGGTTGAACAAAAATCACTAAAACTCGCACCCTGCAGAATTGGAATATTGCAGTATCGCAGTTCCATTTGCTCTCGATTGTCCGATACCCCTTCGGGGTGAACACCTATATGAAAAGGTCGGGGATGCTGGCTGTCTCGCCTAGGGGTATAAATCAAGGATTCTGGTCTCACTTAGGATGTGGAGGATGAAACGTCACTATTTTTAGCTGTCAAAGCATCTTTTAGGGTGCACTCGAAGAAATACTAGTAAAAATCCGCTCCCATTTCCGTTTTTAGGCTGGAATCCTGCCAGTCTCTCGAGTCCGGTCTACTAGCGCGGGCTTCCTTCCTGAACAAGGGCTAATAATCGAACCTGTTCCGTTTTACCGTAAATCAGTCTGGTTTGAAACTGAGTGGGGTCAAATAGAGCTCGAGACACGCCCAGATTGCTCTCCTTTAGGGGTTTGATTCAAATTGTCCCACGAAGATCCCCCGACCTTTTCACGTGGGATTTCCCCGGGTTCGATACA